CAACAGACTGCAGGGTGTCATCCAGCAACACCTCGTCATGACACCCCACGCGAAAGACCTCACACAAGATCTCCTTAGCGGCCTCCTCGGCCTCAGCTGGAAAAGGTGCACGCAAACCAACACCGGGACGCCTCCTGTAGCACAGCATGAGTTTATTTACGTAAGCCATCAAATGGCCACCCTCCGCCATGGCATACGCGTGCGCCCGAACTGTCAAGATTGTTTGGACCTTGAGAGGCGAAGCAGAAAAGCAGAAAGGTCAAGGTCCCATTCGTCGCTGCAAAGCCCAGCGGTCTCAGCGACGATCTCGGCCATATCCCGCTTGCGCGTTGCCCTGCGAAACTGGACGTCCAAGGTAGCTTCCTCAGATAGGATGCGCCGCCAAGGAATCCATGACCACGACTAGGTCTTGCACTGCGTATGCACATTCTGCAGCAGGCTGAGCGGCTGAGGGGTGGAACTCAAGGCGATGCCAGGGAAACGCTTCTCGAAGCTTTTCACAAGACCCTCACGCTCCGCAGCATCTCACAGAGGGCGAAGCTTGCCCGCCAAGGGATGGGTTGTCCAGTCCGCCTCCTCGACAGCCGAGGCAGTGTCCCCAGACCTGACGCGCGATCGGCACAGCCATGCTTCAAACGCCGCTGCAACCACAAAGCTGCTGTGAAATGTGTCTGGCGAGTCGTAGCCCATGGCTACTAGGCGAGATGCAACACATTCAGGCAGGCCGACGTCAGCACACAGTTTTGCAAGTGTTGCTGGCGCCTCCATGATGCACAAACAGAGAGGAGGTTACAGGCAGCAATCAGGTAACAACGCAGCCCAACACAACAGCTAAGGCGCACGATCACACACACACACACAGACACACACTTGAGCCAATTCAAGGCCCAAGTCAAGTAAAACAAACAAGGGGGCCCAGGATGCCCCGAAAAGAATAATCACAGAACTTAAGCAACAATTAAGCCCGCCTGAACTGCGCACAGAGGTCACTCTAAAATGTAAGCAACAATTAAGTCCCAGCCTCAAGACAAACAAGCAAGACATGCGCACGGCATGCTCACATCCGCCAATCAGGATGCGTCAAGTAAAGAGTGACTTGTGCACGGCCGGTCAGACATCCAAAAATCAGGATGCACAGGAATCACGGCATGCAGTTAAAAACAGTTAATCCCGCCTCAAAAACATTAAAAGCATCACGATAAACATAAGAGAAAGACATGCCCCGCCTCAAAAGCAAAAGCTTCACTCAACAAGTAACACGCGGCACACAGCACGCGCACCACAACATTGCCCTGCCCCCGCGAGCTCTGCACAAACTGAGGCTGTTGAGATCTCTATCTAGACGCCATGGCAGCAACCACTGCGCCGGCAGGCAGAAAACCCTTCGAAACGAGGGTTAGTCTCGCGCAGCCCCAACCCATCACGCATGGCAACCTGTGGGCGGCACGCCATAGCATAAGAGCCCTTGCTGTTGCGGATGGACCTATGAAGCACCCCTGAACGGATGTTCAGAAGCCAGTGGCCAGTAGGCAGGCCCCGCAGCAGATCAGCCAAAGAGTCCGCAGAAGCAACAGGCTCCGCGTCGCTCGGGAAGGAGGACTCGTCAGACTCACTCTCAGCCTCCGTGTCATCGCCAGCAGACGCAGCAAGGTCTGAGGGAGCCATAGGAAGAATATCATTCTTTTGCAGAGGCAGTGACGTAGCGTCACCATCTACAACTTCACCGTCCTCAAAAATAGTTGGGATGACAGGGGGCAAGGGGGGCAGAACCTAGACTAAACCCAAGGTAAACCGCAGATACGTCAAGCTTAAATTCGTGCAAACCCCGCGCTAGCGGAATTCGGGGCACCCAGCCCTCATCCAGAGCGCGCAGCAAACTACGCTGGCATCTAAGTTGAGGCTCAATATCATCCCTACCATAGCGCGGCACACAGCGGCTAACAGCGGCACCAGGGCTACGATAATGAAGAAACCCCAGCACATTCCCCTCGGGCTTGACTTAATTCTCCAACACTTGCCGCGTACTGTGTATTTGTCGCAAACGATGGAACGCAGGTCCACTCGCTGGGCATCACTCTTTAAACCGCCCTGAACCATAAATAGTATAGCGGCAATCAAGAACTGGTCAGACTCCGTAGAGTCCAGCAGAGCTTGCTCTAAACACCGAACAATCTGCAAACAATCTGCAGAGGGAGCGGAGCGGCCTCCTTCACAGGCGGCAGAGCCCACTTCCCGTGCTCACGCCATGCTTTGATTAAGGGCGAGGCCAGGCACTCAGAAAGGGCTCGCAACAGACTCTTGAGCGCAGCAAAGGACATTGCGCTGAGGCACGAGGTGGCAGAACGACGGCGCCCTTGCCCGCGGCCCGCTTTGCAGCCCTCCACTAGACTGACTGTGAAGTCTAGTACATGCGCCATGGACGGCGCTCTGGGGGACAGGCCCTGAGAAGAGCAAAAGCCCAGCCAAGTGCGCCAGCCCCCGAGTGTGGACGGAGCGCGGTCCAAAAAGAGAAGGAGCAGGGCCGCGTCGCTGACTCCCGTGAGCGACAGCTTCAGCTCGCTGCTCTCAACCACTGCTTTGGCAAAGCCAAACCAAATAGCGGCCCATTTGCGACGCTCAGCACACTCCAACTCCCTCAGCGAACCGGAACCTACACTGCAGTCAACCTCGCACAAGGCAATAGTTGAAGGCACACACGGGATGGTAGGGAGAGACGCACAGGACACTGGCAACGTGTCCGCGCACACGGGAGAAGCTTGGGGCTTGTTAAGGTGCAGGCAGGGCTTAGGGCGGGGAAGGACGCCTGAAGCAGAGCAATCGAAAGGATGCGAACGCACCTCCGGCCCAGGCCGCTGCATAATTTAACAACAAAGGGGAAGAGCAACAAACAGAAGCAACTCCTACTGTGAAATAGCAGCAGTATCGAGCTGCGGCCCACACCCTCGTACACACCGCCACAAGAAGCGTCAAGGGCGCGCGCACGGTTTGTAACATGCACGGGTGCGCAGGCTTCCCAACAGCGTGCCTTCAGGTCATCTGGGTTCAAACCTGCGATTTTAACCACATCACTCAGAGGTATCTGTGTTCTTTGGAGGCCTACAGCCACTGCTGGCCTGGAACAGTTGCAGAGATGATGTACTGGCTGGCTTCCTGCAGCCATGAAGGCTCGAAGCTGATGGCGAGCATGACTGCAGCTAGGCTTGCATCGAGCACAGCCTCAGCAACCCCTGCCTCTCGAGCATGGAACCGCAAAGGTAGACGAACCTGTGCCGTCATCGAACGTTCACATTTGTGGCTGCCTCCGCCAGCATCTTCCGCCTGCTGCCACACGTCTCTGCCAGGCGGAGGCGGCTCCAAGGCAGAAGTCGCAGCGGCTCCGACAGCTTCTGGACCCGCCTGGCTTGCCTGCGTGACGGTGCAGAAAAATTTGCTGCCTGAGAAGATACAGCAGTCACCAACCTTCTTTGCTCGATCTCGCTCCTCAAGCTGAGCAGCCTGCACGTCCAGCTAACACCACAATGGCAGACACAGTTGCCATATCTTTGAGATCGTCTGAGAATCCCTGCCTCAAGCTTCTTCAAGTTGGCCTTCCATCGTGCTTCATATGAATAACTGCCTCGGCCTTCACCTGCAATGGTGAGCCTCGAGCTTTCTATGCAGCATTGCCAGGCGTGACTTTGCCGTGTCAACGTTCTGCGAGGGCTTGCATTCAGAAGTCTGCACCGTCACAGAGATCCAGGTCCTGAAGCAAGCCTTCCAGGCCAGAAAGGGTGGCCTCAATGCGCAAGACTTGCAACAAGACCAAGAGTCTTAAACTTCAACTCCGTGCTAACAAGTGCCAGCCTTTCGAAGGCTTCGGTCTTCAGGCGACAGCTCACTCAAGTTGTCAAGCATCATCATGTCCTGGCTTCCACGAGGGGTACTTCCACATTGTGCACTAGGCAGCAACGGAGCGCAGTAATCCTCCAGCAAATCCTCTCCAAAGTTCCTCGCCTTTTTCCGCGCCTTGTGAAATCGCGGTACAACTCAGTCTACCAGCTCGTATACCCATGGCTTAGAGGTTCCAAGATGCTCTGCTTGCCTCTTCCACCGCAGACAGTTCCGCTCGCAGCTTGTCCGCTTCGGTTTCCGGAATCTCCTTGCCAGGGCGGTCGATGTCTCCCTACTCGTGAGCTCAAGCTCCTGAGCCCCTGACATGCTTGGCAAGCATCGAGGTCGTTCGGCTTAGGTCATGAACTTCCTTCAGCCTCGGGTTTGTCTGTATCGACTCATCCCAGCATTTCTTCACTTGCTTGAGCCCTGCACATCCCTTCTTGATGATCCTTCACCTTCTGGACCTGCAACTCATCAATAAGCACATACGCCATGCCCAACGCTGAGCACAAAGCTTTGCACCGCTCCAGGGCGTGCTGTTTCAACACAGCCACATGGCATGCTCGAAAGACTCATCGCGACTCGGGAGACACCGAACGCCTTCCACTACGAACCACTTTGGGCCCTGCAGAGCCTGCGTCTAAGACGAAGACTCTGACTCCTCCAATGGATGCAATGAATTTGAGAGCTGACTCTCACCTACTACGTGAGGGATTATTGGGGTGCGCAGCCTGATTTTTTGTTTACTGCTTGGCTTCACAAGAATGGAGTTGTGAAGGCATGCTGAAGTGTTCCGTTCTTGTAGTTGCGGCTTCGTGCCTGCAACTTCTCAAGGGCTTAAGTACTTCACAGCCTCATGCTGACTCAAGGCTCAGGGCAGGGCAATTGACTGGACAAATGCACGGCCTAGCTTCAAAATGATTCAAAGACGTGCATCGCCAACAAAAAGATAACCACTAACTTCCAGCAACAGCAAATGCATGCCCACCCCATCACACCTACATGCTGGCTCACTTTGACCAATGTGAATTCACAGGAGGTGTATGCGCTCGAGACACGTTCCTATCAAAAAACACAATAATTCTCGAATGGCCACCCCGCTGCAATGTCCAAAAATTGTCGGCCACTCAATGTTCGAAGTTGTCAGACAGGATCATGTGTTCGTTAAGTGCTGGCGAATCGCTGCGAGACGCATGTCCTGCCAAGACGGCCAGAAGGAGCCCCGTCGCGAGGGCTGCAAAGAAGGCCCAGCCGAAGTTTCCAGGTTGCAGAGCAGGCTGTGCCAGCTGGGCAAGCAGGTCACGAGACGCAGGGCCTGAGTTGACGGCTGCAAACGCTTTGGCTGCATCCCGATAAAGTCTTCTCAGTTCTGATTCATTCCATTCGTGAGGCTTGCCCACCACACCATCATACCAATCTGGCAAATAAAAATCTGTTGGAAAGAAATAGAACTCTGAAGGCAAGGAATGTTCGCCCAGCACATTTTGGTACATCTCGCTTTGCGGGTATTGCGGCAAGTTGTTCCAATAGTATGGGTATTGAGGCACGAAGGTGCGAAAGTGGGCCAATTGGCTCTTCATGGGGCCAAGGCCAGCCCATTCCGCAGCCAAGTATCCCAAAGCCGCTGCGGAGTATATTGGATTGTACACTTGTGCCATCGCAGCCGTCATCAGATTCCCACCAGGAAAAGATGTTGCGGAAAGTGTGCTCTGGGCATCCTCGAAGGTTCCTCCAAGTCCTCCAAATGTGACGTAGTTTATTGTCATGCCTTTTTCCTGCCGATGCTCATTCTGTTTCGATATCAGATAGGCAGTCCGAGAGAAGGTGTCACACGAGGATCCGCAAAGACCGTCAGAAACGAAAAGCACATTTGTGAACGGATGCTCCACACCCTTAAGAGCATCTACATACTGCTGAGTATATGCGATGACACAGTCCTCAATACGGAAGAAGTCTGTGAGCATCACGCGAGACTTGCCACCTCGCGCAGCAGAACGCAAGGACTTGAATGGATCAAATGAAGTACCGTTTTCAGAATACCCCGAAAGATACAGGGAGAAGGGATTCCCGAAGCTTTCGGCGGATGCGGTGAGGACCTCAAGGGTCCCGCGCAAGCTCTCCTCGTCCACATCGCCTGTGTCCAGAGAATCAATTGCTGATTGGATCTGAAGCACATCGTCCATGTCCAAAACATCCATCTCCATGCATGCCTTTGTGATTTTCTGCAATACCGTCTTCATTGCGGACTGCTCATGCGGCGTCATCTGCCTCAAGCGCTGATCTATAGCTGCTGCATCATCCATGAACCTTGCAAGAGGGGTGGTGTTCACCATCTTCCAAGCTTCGTACAGCGACCCCACAGGTCTGTCATACATGTTGCACAGCTGGTCAAACTGCAAATGTGGATACAGTGCTCTCACAAGTAAGTATGCCAGATCAACGAAACCACCCGCATTTCCAGATACGTCTATCAGCAGACGGCGCACATTCCTTTCCCGTGCAGTGTATACAAGCTCCTTCCAAAACCTAACGAACTCCTTCTTGGAATCGAAGATGGCCGACCCCACTGAAGGGACGTACAGCCGGGCAAGCTTGGCTACGGCAAAGACCTCGCCCAGCTCGTCTTGCTGAAATTCGAAAAAGCCATACGAATCTCCGACGGGGCTTGCGACAGGGTTCAACAACCATCGGCGGGGAGGCAACGCCTTAAAACAGCATTTGTCCCATCTGCTGTCGAGAGCGATGTGTGGCAAGCTCAGCGCCGCACGGCCACTTGAACAGCCTGACCAGCTCGTTCCCTTCAGCTGGAGCTAAACGATCAAACATGCTGGGTCATTTAAGTGTGGAGATGCAGCATGGAGGCCTGAAGCTCAGATGGGCAAGCTTACGCCGATGCGCCTGCAAAATCCCAAGCACAGCACGTATTGCTTGCGTTCATAGGTTGAGATGCGTGCATGTTTTTGCAAAGATTGCGGGTGCTTACGACTAAACCAAATATGTCTTGATGGCCTCTGTACCGGGGACATGATCCTCACGGACGCGCAGCAATGAACGCAATCCGGCATCCTGAAACAGGATCGGCTAATAAACGGAGGCTGCCGTGCAAAGTATCTTAATGCAGTTTCCTGTCTGAGAAGCTCAACCATGTCTGCATCCGTCAACTGGTTCAAGACCTGCTGCGCAAGCATAACGCTTCGTGCAAGGCTGGTGGACTCAGCTGGGGCTACGTTTGTTGCACCGCCGCCGCTGTCACCCCTGGACCTTACAGACAATCACGTACAGGGCACGGTCCGTGCTGCGTCAGGGTCAGCTTGAACATTGCCAAGCTCTGCACAATTCCATGTTCGCCTGCGGTGTGCATGGTTTGCACGGCTTTAGTGAGAAGAACCTTCAAAGATTTGTTACAGGTCCGGCTTCTCGCGCCCTACATGCAACTCTGACAAGCTTTCATAGTCTCAGAAGCTGCAAAGACCTACACGGGAGCTTTTGCCTCTGCTGCATGCTGGAACAAGGCGCTGGATCCGGTCAGATGGGCCTTGCAACATGTGACATGAGTCGCCCAACTTTCAGAACGCCCTTCTACAGTCAGCGAAAGGCAACTGCACCAAGAGATGCCAGACACATTGGGTACAAATGGGACATGTATGGATCGCTGCCACAAAAGCTGGTGCTAAGCTTCTTGGGATCGTGCTCTCACCAGGGCGGGAACCCCCGCACTTGCACCCAAGCCCACGCATTTTAAACAGGGCCTTCTGAAGTCCTGGGCTCACCACTTTTAAGAAATCCACCGCGCATGGAGCATCGAAGAGCTGACACCTTGCAGCAACGCGAAGGATTAATGCATGCGGTGTTCACTGCTGGTCTCTTTTTGTTGCACTGCAGGGCTGAGAGTGCATATTCCGTTGGCTGGAACAGACGCCCCTCTGGCTATTTTCAGGCACGGTACCAGTTCAAGTGCGCTAGTTTGATCAGCGAGCGGTCTCACCACAACATGATAGATAAACCTTTAGTGCCTCAGCGACAGCCTGTCAGGCGCTGCCACTGTGCTGCACCAGATACGTAGCTGCAAAAAAGGAAGATCAGTCGTCTGAGGGCGCGGCGATGCCAGGTTTCTAGTCAGCCACAGCCATGTCCAACTCCAGGTGGAGGCCTGGTTCCGCCAACAGGCCCAGCTCACATCTTCTGCAAACACTCTTGTACTTCAAAGCCCTGGGCACAGGGGTCTGCAGACGGGGTCTTTTGTGCATGTAACTGTTTTTGCAAGGTGCACTGGTGCATGTGCAGTGTGTTGCCGTTGGGAGGAGTAGCCGCAGGTGCCAATACCACTGAACAGGCCTGTCACGTGACCTTTCTCAGGTGGCCCCAGTATATTTAGTTGGAGTGGCGGCGGAATATGTTTCCGGACCCTGCAGGTGAGCATGGCAGGTACGAGCAGTGGAAGGTGCGCTGCGATCTGCTGCTTTTGCAAAGACACTCGACTCAGAATCCGACAGAGCCATCTGCAAACGTCACCTTGCGATAGCCGGAAAATCTACCAAGACACGCGGCATGAGCTATCCAGAAAAGACCCATCTGTGATGCTCACACTCACAGAAGGCTTCATCGAGGACACGTCGCCAATGTTGCTGGCCAACCTTGCAGATCATCAGATGGATGAAGACACCCGGTATAGTATTTGCAATCCTGCCCTTTTTGTGCTGGAACTGCGTCACACCATTACCTAATCCCTCCTCCCGCGTAGATTTGTCTAGCATTTTTCCGCACCATCTTCTTCCTACACATCTTTGAGCGACAACTTCTACACTTCCAGCAATGAAGAGCCCTTGCGACACCATCACATCCCGTCAAGAGATCAGCACTGTTCTGGCACTGCCCAGCCACCCCAGAGCGAGTCTGAAGGAATGTTGAGATGAGGCGAGCCAGTAGTAAGGGTCGGACCATGCCAGGCCAATTCGTGCCAGCTTCAGGAAATGGTTTGCCCGGGGGCCTCAGCTCCGGACAAAGCAGACAGCAAGGAATCAGGAGCCAACCAACGAGGCGATTGCCAAGGCTCTTGAAGCCGTAGTTAAAGGCGGGATTCTCTAGCACATGCACTTGGAACCACCTGAAGGTGCTGTCACCAGGAATACTGCCTCTGCCTGCCTAGCTCTGTTGAGGACTAGGATCTGCACTTCATGGGCTTCAGCCCATCAATGCGGAGAATCTCCTTCCCCTCAGAGACAAACCTTGAAATATGCCGTGCCAGGATGTGCCAGGTCAACCAGCTTCAATAATCAGTTGGCCAATGCCCGCTGGCAAACGCTCACTACGAAATGCGGCTGTTGAATTGAATAAGAAATATTGGAAGCCACCTGGTAGATCGCATGTTCTCAAACATTGCTGCTTGAAGAAGGGAGTTGGACAATCCTGGGAGTTTGCATCTAGGGAAACCAATGAGGGCCCACACCGAGGATTTGCCAAGCCGTTGATGGCAACCGTGTCTCTTGCGGCCACCTTTCGAGCTTGCAACTTGCTAGAGCTTGCTAGTACGCTGAAACCTCCAGGCTCACAAGGCCAGCCTGCCTGAACACGTACTGCCTTCAATTCAAGGTCATCTTGCAGCATGAAGATGAACTGATTGAGCAGGGCATCGACCTGCTGAGCAAATTCTTTAGATTTTTCGCGAAGTTGCGCCGCAGCCCTCCTGAGTACCCCCGTTTCGCCAATCCACGTGAGAATCTCGAAGCCTGCCCAGACATGCTTGAGGCATTTGCTAGCTTGCTAGCCTGCCAGACAGAATCCCATGACCTCGCAAAGAGAGAGTTGGCCGGCAGGTACCAGTCTGTCAGGCCCGGGCTGCTGGGGAGCGAAGCCTCTGAAGATCTCTGAAGGCAAAGACAGTCTTGTTCGGTTTCAGTTCTTGTGCTGAACGTACATAGCCCCAAGCCAGGTGACGTTCTAGCCCTCCGCTACGTTTCCAATAGAGAGAGCTGCGCCATTAATGTGGGCGAGCGCACAGTGAAGCCTTTCTCCTCGACGTACACCCACGCATCCCCCTCAGCCCGCTCTACCCCGTCCAAGAAACTTGAATTGATTTCTTGCCGATTCAGAAATGTGTGTGTTTTTTTGCCCTGGCTTTACCCTTTCCCAGCTCTCCCAGGCCCCCCAATTCCCGGCGCAGAAAATCTAAAGAAGCGGACAACGCAGGCAGCATGAAAAGTGCGCTGGAGGGAAGGGCGCGCGCGCCCGACCCCCGCTTCCCCTGTTGTAGAGATGAGGCCGCAATGATGCTGACTGGGGCCAGCGAAATCAGCATCATTGCGGCTCCTTTCTCTGATCTGAGGCCTGCCAGCACCCCCTCCAACCTGCAAAAATTGGTGCCCGGGCCCAGATAGGTCTCTCGGGGGCTAGTGTTCAAAAACGTCAATGCGATGATGTTTGTTGGTAGGCTTACGGGGATCCCAAAAATCCCACCAAAAACCTCCGTGCCATGTGGATTTGCTTCCTGAGCGCACGTGAATTTTAGGCCTAGCGGCAGGGGCCGGCCCTGCCTGCGTACTTTGATGGCTTTTCTTGGGCTATTGACCCCTCTTGCTCCCAATTAAGGGTAAGAGTGTTTATTTTTTTGTTGTCTGGTTTTTTTTGTTGTTTGGGCTTTTCGAGTGTTCTTTTTTTTGTTGTTTGGGCGGGGGCGT